AGGAGGCAAGATGCACAAACGGCAGCCAAACCGGTCGACCGAAATGAAGCTTTGGTCGACTGAATTAACTACTTTGGTCTGCCGGTTGTGCTCCAAAATAGTAAATGAAGCTATTGGAAGTTTCGATCGACCGAAACACCCATTTCGGTTGGTCGAAATGGCCCTGCAAACTGGAAAATACTACTGGACTGCTCTAAACTTGAAAATATGCTTTAGACTAGACATGGAACCTTAAAACTGAATGAATCCTGTCCCAATGTATGTATAAACATTGAATATAACATCATAACATTCATTTGAACATGGTAATCACATACGTATAAGGGATTTCCTCCATTTACAACATTTTATATGATCCATCACATAATTCAATAACCATGAACAAGGTAATTGTATTAACGTGAGATTACAAGTCATGAAGCAAAAACTAAAGTTTATAGGAGTCCATAATTTACAACTTCCTACAAGTTACATCTAAAGTTTTACAAAAGGACTAGACCCCATATACAAAATACAACAAATCAAAAGTCCCAATCTCATCTAGAATTATGGTGGGTTGTCGTTCGCCACTTCCTTTCCCGAACCTGAAAAATGTTAATAATAAAGGGGTGAGCATAAGCTCAGTAAGAAATGTCTAAGACACACCTTTTGCGACCTTGTGAATCAAGCAATAAATGAAAAAAAAAAAAAGACAAGATCATGCCAAATTCTGGGAAAGATACAACCATAATATCAATAGCAATAACCCAAGTCACAAATAAAACATATCATTCTAAAGGATGCAATGTCATGTAATGTCTCTCCCCAATTCCCAAAACAATTTCATTTCATCGTTCCAAACCGTTAATCCAACCTGACCCATAGCACCTCTATGGCGTCACGATGAAATGGCTGGCTAACAATCCCTGACCACATGGCACCTCCAAGGTGTCGTTTGGGCCTAGGTAACTCAACTTCCCTCTAGATCATATTAACATCACGGACCATTAGGCGCCTCCTAGGCGTCTGGTTTTCATAAAATACCTTTCAAAAACCATTTTTTTCAAAACAATTACATTTGCCTTCAAAACATTTTTCCCTTTTTTCCTTCCCAATGAATGTTTCATTTTTCCAAATGTCAAATCAATAATGGAATTTCATATAAGCTACCAATTCCCAACAACAAACAATTACATCATGCTTTAATTGGACAATTTGACGTTTAGCACATACTATGGCATAAATTGCACATATATTTTATCACATCAACTCAAGCAGCAAGTATTTGAAACAAATATTTATATAAACCATATTATCAGATGGAACTCTAAAATACCATAAGCTAATAATCAAATTAAACATACTTAGAAGAAATTAGGAAAAGAAAATTCACTAAAACCAAATAATGTGTGGATTAGAACACCCCTACCTCAATGGATGCAAAAACCCCAATTCCAAGCCCTAATTTTGAAATCTCTAAGGGTGGCCAAATGGTGCTTGGTTCCAATCAAAACGACGGCATCGATGAGCTCTCTAACATTGCCTAAGGTAGCACCATCAAATTCCCAAAGGTGAGGTAAAGATTAAGCCTTGAAAGCTTAATTGAAATGAGAAAGAAAAAGAAAAAGAAGAGGGAAAGAGAGCTGTCGAGAGTGAGAGAGAAAATGGTGAAGGTGTAATGGCCTTAAGGACATTAAAAACAATAGTGGTGGGTCCCTCCACTAAAAAAAATCTTTTAACTTTAACTTTACAACGCAAAATTCATATACATGCACTAACTACCTTTCAACCACACAATTAAACTTACAACAATGAAATTATACACAATAAAAATTATGCATGAAACCCGTGACATGACTCCTGTGCATAACAGTTTCGATAGCAGGTCCCACGTGGGACCTTCCAGCCCGAAAAAATAGAAAAATGCCGAAATGGCATCCGGTGCATTTCCAAGAGTCCTGAACCTAGAGAAATGTCCCCCCCAACATCTCAGATACACCCAACACACCCCACGGTATCTATCATGCAAAACAAAAAAAGACGAAAATGCCCTCAAAATCAGAAAAATCCCATAAAATGGAAAAAGGGAAAAATTAGAAATATTACAGTTAGTACGTAATGTCACTATTAATTCTGTTCAACTCATTTGTAGAGTCAATTATGTGAGTTATGACTCCACAGTATGAACTACATTGGTTATTTCTGTCCTCATCCTTTTGGGAAACTGATTAGTCTAATTTCACCTGTTTATTTGTGATTTGTAGTGATGAAGTGAAACATAATTGTTTTTGACAGTTGCTCTATAACAAATTAAAGTTTACTTTCATCCATCTCTTATTTTCTTCTGCAAGCTACTGTTGTGTGTTGTTCATATGAATACAACCATAATCTTCCTTAGTCGAATATGACAGTATGAGCAAGATTGTTAAATTATAAACATGTTTTGGTTTCATTAATCTTCTTGCAATTGGCTTGTTATTACCTGTGTATTGAAAAATTAGGTTCTAGTCCTAGCAGTGATTCTGCATATAATTCATGTTTTTCTTGCATCCCTGTTGGAAGTTATTCTAGTTTGTACATATCATAAATCTTGCTTTGGATGGATATTCATTCTTGATTTAATGTCCATTTGTGTGTATTTGCCCAAGAATGAGGATGTGAATGTGAAAAACTATTACAGGAACTTTTTTAATCTTCAGTTTTAAAAGTCAAAACATTTTATAAAAAGAGATTATTTTTACAGAAAGTGGAGGAAATTCACAAGTCACATGCAGTTTGGTCTTTGGCGAATAATGACCACTACAAATGAAAACCACAATTTTCATTCCTACACTTGGAAGGAATGGAATGCAAGCCAAAAGAAAAAAATAAATGGAGTGCAAAGATCTTCTCTCATTGAAAGATTATTACAAAATTAGAATTGTAATTTGGTTGCCACTAATAATGTTTGTGCCTCATACTTATCTCACATGATCTTATTTATACATGTAAATTTATTCATAATTTTTTTTACCCACTCTTAATGGAGAAATTAATTAATTAATTAATTTTTTTTAACAAATTATCTCAAATCATAAAAAAAAAATGGACTATTACATATAAACTTATAATTATATTAATATATATTTAATTATTCAAAATAAAAATAAAACAGTCTTTACCAAACAGGTATCTTGTTATTGATTCAGAATTTTTGACAACAAAAAAAACTTCCAAACATGTTTTGTTTTCGGATTCCTTAAAACGCATGACATTAACAATCGTTACCAAACATGGTTCCGATTTCTACTAAAAACACACCAATACCAAAACGCATGTTTTGGTATCATACCGAACCATAATGTGTAAAACATATCGTGATCCAAATGACCCCTAAAATATTGACATTTATTTTGGAATGAGAAATATTGACTAGATTAGGATATGTATTGAAATTGGAAAATGATATTATTAACGACTTTAATACCCAACTTAAAATCGACGGACATAAAAAATATGACATAGTTATTCAAAATTTTAACTTAAATAGGCATCATTACTACTCTTATTTGTTTTCATAAAATTCTCCATTTCTCTTTCCTTTATCTTTTGTAATTTTCCATAGCCATATCATCTCTTTTTTTTTTTTTTCTTTTTCACAATAAGTTTCATGATACTCAAAATTTAATAATTTGATTTTAAAATATAGAGCAAAAATTGTAATGTTTTATAATTTTTTCTTACTTTTGCAATTTATTTTTTAAAATTTTTTTTACTTGTCTTTGTTTGTGGGAGTTAGATAGATCATTAACTTTGATCATTATAGCAATTAACAAAGGCCTATCAAAATAATAGATGGATATTAATGATAAAAAACATAATATAAAGTATCTTAATGGTCCGTCCTTACAAAGATGCAATTTGAAATATAAAACAAGTATTCAGATATATAGTGGTTGAAACTTTAATAGCCACCAAAAATACATAAATTTATAAAAAAAATTACAACTTTCAAATAGAGTCAATTACTTTATATTTTAAGGTGGGTCTCATTATATTTGACACATAAATAACCATATAGACTCGATAAAGTAGTAACTTTTTATTTATCGTGCTATATAACAGGACTCATTAAAATTATAAAAAGTGGAACAAAACCTTTACGAATAATAAATTCCTCAAAAAGAGAATACTTAGTAAGAATTTTATTGTGAGGGACCTGAGTCATATCATTTTTTTAGCAACGCCTCTCGTCTTTCTATATATGACTTAATTTTGTTACTTTTTTTTTTTTTTTTTTCCCGCTCCAACCCTACTTTATGTGACTTAATGGAGGAAGGAATTTTTTTTTTTTTTTTTTTTTTTTGGGCTCAGTGATGGTGGACTTTCTTATTAGTGTTACTCAAAATAAAAAAAATAAAATAAAAAAATTCTTGTAACTAAACATGCCCAGCAAAATCCGAAAGTTTCGAAGAAACTTCGAACCAGTGCAAATTCCTCATCTGTATATAGAAGTTAATATACAGATGAGGAATTTGCACTGGTTCGAAGTTTCTTCGAAACTTTCGGATTTTGCTGGGCATGTTTAGTTACAAGAATTTCTTTGTTTTTTTTTTTTAATTTGAGTGCGACGCCTCTCGTCTTTCTATATATGACTTAATTTTGTTACTTTTTTTTTTTTTTTTTTCCGCTCCACCCTACTTTAGGTGACTTAATGGAGGAAGGATTCGTTTTTTTTTTTTTTTTTTTGGGCTCAGTGATGGTGGACTTTCTTATTAGTATTACTCAAATTAAATAAAAAAAAAAAATTCTTATGACTAAACATGCCCAGCAAAATTCGAACCAGTGCAAATTCCTCATCTGTATATTAACTTCTAACACTCGCACAAATCTTGCTTCCCTTTCTTATCACAACTAGAAACCGACGTCGTTTTCATTAAATCATTGCCAAGAAACCCACCTAGTTTTCTATTTCGCCAACTAATCCAGTGCAATTATAGTAAAAACAACACTAGCAGAACGACAACACTCTCACACCCAAATATTCCAGAGAGAGAAAGTAGGGAGAGAAAAACTAAGCACGAACCTGCTTTCCACGCGTTCAAAAGCTCAAGGTTTCTTCTCTCCCTCTTCAACACAACATCACAAATAAAACTTCGATTATATCTTCAATGGCCGCGAACAACTCTCACTGTTATTTCACTTTACTCTACCTCTGCTTTACGAGTCGACTCAGTACTGTATTGCCGGAAAACCCTAGTCACGACCACGCCCAAATCAGCTCCAACTCGGTTCTCGTCGCCTTACTCGACTCCCATTACACCGAGCTCGCCGAACTCGTCGAGAAGGCTCTCTTGTTGCAGACTCTAGAGGAATCAGTGAGTCAACACAACATCACCATCTTCGCGCCAAATAACGAAGCACTCGAACGCGACCTCGACCCCGAGTTCAAGAGGTTCCTCCTCGAACCGGGCAATCTCAGGTCCCTCCAGACCCTCTTGCTCCACCACATCGTCTCCAAAATGATTCATTCAAGCGAGTGGGTCAACTCGCTTTCCGAGTCGACTCAGCACGTCACCCTCGCTCACCAGACAGTCGGACTCAGGGAAGATTTAGAGCACAAATTCGTCGGTACTGCGAGGGTGGTCCGACCCGACGATGTGGTCCGTCAAGATCGAATAATTCACGGAATCGAACGGCTGTTAATACCCAAATCAGTACAAGATAGTTTCAACCGGAGACGGAGTTTGCGATCGATCTCCGCCGTTAAACCGGAGGCAGCGCCGCAGGTTGATCCGAGGACGAAGAGGCTGAAAAAACCTGCACCACCGGTTCCGGCCGGTTCACCGCCGGTTCTGCCGATATTCTCGGCCATGGCTCCGGGTCCTTCAATGGCTCCGGCGCCAGCGCCTGGACCGGGTGGGCCCCACCACCACTTCGACGGCGACAGCCAGGTCAAGGACTTCATACAGACCCTAGTACACTACGGTGGCTACAACGAGATGGCGGAAATTTTGGTAAATTTGGTCGGATATCGGTTCAGGGCATTGACGGAGTGTTGTTCCCGGCGGAAGAGAAGCCAGAGCTGGAAAGGAAAGTTGTTAGTTACGTTGCAGCTGTGGTGAAGCCGAGGAGAGGTAAGTTGTTGGCTTGATTTAGTTTGGTTGTTTATTGGTTAATTTTTGGAATGTGGGTTTTGGGTGGGTCGGGTTTATTGGCTGTGGATGGATTGTGGGTGTTTTCGGCGGCGATTCAGATAATTCCGGTGATGAGGTGGTGGTAAAGGGGCTCAAATCACCTGTTGTGAGTTATCCTACAGTCCCCTGTTGTGAAATCAGCTTATTCCCCTTCTTCCCTTTTGCTTTTGTTATTTCCCTCCTTTCTTTTTCATTTTAATCCAAACCCTTATTCCTCTCTCTTTGTTCCATCAAAAAAACATATTGCTTTTGAATTTCTTTTTTATTGGAAACCCTAATTCCTCTCTCCTCTATTCTTACTTTTTTATAATCTTTTTTGAATCAAAACCCAGATTGCAGTGTGTTGATTTCTCAATGCAATGTCAACTATTCATCTAAAGGAAGAAAATCTACAATGGACCTGATGTGGTATCTACAATTGACCTAATTAATGCTTGATTGTTGGTAAGTCTTATTAATATTGTGCATTTAATATATTGTTCATTTACAGTGAAATTTTTGTTTTGAATGCAGCAATGTAGATTTAGAAAATTTATGATTCTTTCATTTGTAATCGATCTGTCATTGTAATGAATGTAAAATCTTCCATAATTGATTTTTAGAACTGAATTGGCTTCAGTAGGTATGAATGTGTTATCAAAAAAAATTGGTATTAAATGCATGCAGCAATTAGACATTTCAGAGGTTAATATTTGATATTTATGAAAAAAAAAAAATTGTGAAGTTTAACAAATACGAACTCTGATCACCTTCACCATCAAAATAAGCTATTCACACAGTACGGACTAACTTATGTCACACATAAACTTAAGAATTTATGATTATTTTATTTGTCATCTGTTAGTGTAAACTATGATATTTTTTAGTTGAAATTGACATTGGTTAAGCATTATAGTGAATCTGAAATCTTAGATATTTGTAGGGTTTTCTTCTATAATCATAAATAAGCATTCTAGTGAATGTAAAATCTTTCATAATTTTAATAAATAGGGACACTGATTACCTTCACCTTCAAATTAAGTTATTCACACAATTCTGCAAAACTAATTTCACACCTCTGTAAAACTAATTTCACACCTAATTTTAACATTTTTTAATTCTTTCATTAGTCATCTGTTAGTGTAAATTATGATATTTTTCTACTTGAAATTAACATTGGTTAAGCATTCTAGCGTATTTGAAATCTTGGATAATTGTAGGATTTTCTTCTACAATCTTCGATAACCATTCTAGTGAATATAAAATCTTACATAATTGTTTTTTTTTTTAACTGAGTTGGCTTCATTAGGTACCAATGTGTTATCCAAATATTGTCTTCTCATGTATGCGGCAATTACGCATTTTACAGGTTATTATGTGATATTTATGAGGAAAAAAACATTGTGAAGTTTAATAAGTAGGGACACTGATCACCTTCACCATCAAAATAAGCTATTCACACAGTTCTACTAAACTAATTTCATACCTCTGCAAAACTAATTTCACACCTAAATTTAACATTTTTTAATTCTTTCATTTGTCATCCGTTAGTGTAAATTATGATATTTTTTTACTTGAAATTGACATTGGTTAAGCATTATAGTGTACTTGAAATCTTGGATAATTGTAGAATTTTCTTCTATAATCTTCAATAACCATTCTAGGGAATGTAAAATCTTCCATAATTATTTTTTTTTAACTGAGTTGGCTTCATTAGGTACCAATGTGTTATCCAAATATTTTGTCTTCTCATGTATGCGGCAATTACGCATTTCACAGGTTATTATGTGATATTTATGAGGAAAAAAACATTGTGAAATTTAATAAGTAGGGACACTGATCACCTTCACCATCAAAATAAGCTATTGACACAGTTCTGTAAAATTAATTTCACACCTCTGTAAAACTAATTTGACACCTAAATTTAATATTTTTTAATTCTTTCATTTGTCATCTGTTAGTGTAAATTTTGATATTTTTCTACTTGAAATTGACATTGGTTAAGCATTCTAGCATATTTGAAATGTTGGATAATTGTAGGATTTTTTTCTATAATCTTCAATAACCATTCTAGTGAATGTAAAATCTTACATAATTGTTTTTTTTAATTGAGTTGGCTTCATTAGGTACCAATTTGTTATCCAAATATTTTTTCTTCTCATGTATGCGGCAATTACACATTTCACAGGTTATTATGTGACATTTATGAGAAAAAATACATTGTGAAATTTAATAAGTAGGGACACTGATTACCTTCACCATCAAAATAAGCTATTTACACAGTTCTACTAAACTAATTTCACACCTCTGCAAAACTAATATCACACCTAAATTTAACATTTTTTAATTCTTTCATTTGTCATCCGTTAGTGTAAATTATAATTTTTTTTTTTACTTGAAATTGACATTGGTTAAGCATTCTAGCGTATTTGAAATCTTGGATAATTGTAAGATTTTCTTCAATAATCTTCAATAACCATTCTAGTGAATGTAAAATCTTCCGTAATTGTTTTTTTTTTTTTCACTTAGTTGGGTTCATTACGTACCAATGTGTTATCCAAATATTTTGTCTTCTCATGAATGCGACAATTACGTATTTCACAGGTTATTATGTGATATTTATGAGGAAAAAAATATTGTGAAGTCTAATAAGTAGGGACACTGATCACCTTTACCATCAAAATAAGCTATTCACACAGTTCTGCAAAACTAATTTCACACCTCTGCAAAACTAATTTCACACCTAAATTTAACATTTTTCAATTCTTCCATTTGTCATCTGTTAGTGTAAATTATGATATTTTTTTACTTAAAATTGACATTGGTTAAGGATTTTAGCGTATTTAAAATCTTCGATAATTGTAGGATTTTCTTCTATAATCTTCAATAACCATTCTAGTAAATGTAAAATCTTGCATAATTGTTTTTTTTTTAACTGAGTTGGCTTCATTAGGTACCAATGTGTTATCCAAATATTTTGTCTTCTCATGTATGCGGCAATTACACATTTCACAGGTTATTATGTCACATTTCTGAAAAAAAATATATTATGAAGTTTAATAAGTAGGGACACTGATCACCTTCACCATCAAAATAAACTTTTTACACAGCTCTGCAAAACTAATTTCACACCTAAATTTAACATTTTTTAATTCTTTCATTTGTCATCCGTTAGTGTAAATCATGATTTTTTTTTACTTGAAATTGACATTAGTTAAGCATTCTAACGTATTTGAAATCTTGGTTAATTGTAGGATTTTCTTCTATAATCTTCAATAACCATTCTAGTGAATGTAAAATCTTCCATAATTGTTTTTTTTTAACTGAGTTGGCTTCATTAGATACCAATGTGTTATCCAAATATTTTGTCTTCTCATGTATGCGACAATTACACATTTCACATGTTATTATGTCACATTTATGAGAAAAAATACATTGTGAAGTTTAATAAGTAGGGACACTGATCACTTTCACCATCAAAATAAGCTATTTACACAGTTCTGAAAAACTAATTTCACACCTATGCAAAACTAATTTCACACCTAAATTTAACATTTTTTAATTCTTTCATTTGTCATCTGTTAGTGTAAATTATGATATTTTTCTACTTTAAATTAACATTGGTTAAGCATTCTAGCGTATTTGAAATCTTGGATAATTGTGGGATTTTCTTCTATAATCTTCGATAACCATTCTAGTGAATGTAAAATCTTCCATAATTGTTTTTTTTTTTTAACTGAGTTGGCTTCATTAGGTACCAATGTGTTATCTAAGTATTGTCTTCTCATGTATGTGGCAATTACGCATTTCACAGGTTATTATGTGATATTTATGAGGAAAAAAACATTGTGAAGTTTAATAAGTAGGGACACTGATCACCTTCACGATCAAAATAAGCTATTCACACAGTTCTACTAAACTAATTTCACACCTCTGCAAAACTAATTTCACACCTAAATTTAACATTTTTTAATTCTTTCATTTGTCATCCGTTAGTGTAAATTATGATATTTTTTTACTTGAAATTGACATTGGTTAAGCATTATAGCGTACTTGAAATCTTGGATAATTATAGGATTTTCTTCTATAATCTTCAATAACCATTCTAGTGAATGTAAAATCTTCCATAATTATTTTTTTTTTAACTGAGTTGGCTTCATTAGATACCAATGTGTTATCCAAATATTTTGTCTTCTCATGTATGCGGCAATTACACATTTCACAGGTTATTATGTCACATTTATGAGAAAAAATACATTGTGAAGTTTAATAAGTAGGGACACTGATCACCTTCACCATCAAAATAAGCTATTCACACAGTTCTAAAAAACTAATTTCACGCCTAAATTTAACATTTTTAAATTCTTTCATTTCTCATCCGTTAGTGTAAATTATGATTTTTTTTACTTGAAATTGACATTAGTTAAGCATTTTAGAGTATTTGAAATCTTGGTTAATTGTAGGATTTTCTTCTATAATCTTCAATAACCATTCTAGTGAATGTAAAATCTTCCCTAATTGTTTTTTTTTAACTGAGTTGGCTTCATTAGATACCAATGTGTTATCCAAATATTTTGTCTTCTCATGTATGCGGCAATTACACATTTCACAGGTTATTATGTCACATTTATGAAAAAAAATACATTGTGAAGTTTAATAAGTAGGGACATTGATCACCTTCACTATAAAAATAAGCTATTCATACAGTTCTAAAAAACTAATTTCACACCTAAATTTAACATTTTTGAATTCTTTCATTTGTCATCCGTTAGTGTAAATTATGATTTTTTTTTACTTGAAATTGGCATTGGTTAAGCATTCTAGCGTATTTGAAATCTTGGATAATTATAGAATTTTCTTCTATAATCTTCAATAACCATTCTAGTGAATGTAAAATCTTACATAATTATTTTTTTTAACTGAGTTGGCTTCATTAGGTACCAATGTGTTATCCAAATATTTTGTCTTCTCATGTATGCGGCAATTACACATTTCACAGGTTATTATGTCACATTTCTGAGAAAAAATACATTATGAAGTTTAATAAGTAGGGATACTGATCACTTTCACCATCAAAATAAACTATTTACACAGTTCTGCAAAACTAATTTCACACCTAAATTTAACATTTTTTTATTCTTTCATTTGTTATCCGTTAGTGTAAATTATGATTTTTTTTTACTTGAAATTGGCATTGGTTAAGCATTCTAGGGCATTTGAAATCCTGAATAATTGTAGGATTTTCTTCTATAATATTCAATAACTATTCTAGTGAATGTAAAATCTTCCATTATTGTTTTTTTTTTTTTTTTTTTAACTGAGTCAGCTTCATTAGGTACCAATGTGTTATCCAAATATTTTGTGTTCTCATGTATGAGGCAATTACGCATTTCATAGGTTATTATGTGATATTTATAAGGAAAAGAACATTGTAAAGTTTAATAAGTAGGGACACTGATCACCTTCACCATCAAAATAAGCAATTAACACAGTTCTGCAAACTAATTTCACACCTCTGCAAAACTAATTTCACACCTAAAGTTAATTTTTTTTAATTCTTTCATTTGTCATCAGTTTGTTTAAATTATGATATTTTTTTTACTTCAAATTGACTTTGGTTAAGCATTCTAATGTATCTGAAATCTTGGATAATTGTATGATTTTTTAGGCCTTTTCATTAGTTCGG